TATTGAAGCAATGCTTGAGGCTCCTTACAAGAAGGTGAGAAAAAACATGTCGGTGAGGTCTATATATTTCTTAATTTAGCATTATTCACGAAACTACTGCTGAAATGTAAACTAACCTCCCCGGAGCCCTCTTGATTTATCTTATCACAGATGCATTACGTGTAACTTACAAAAGTAAATATATGCTATTGATGTAATAATATTGTGCAGTAGTTTCACTTCAGCGTGATGAATAAATGCCCATCTATCTCTCTTTGTAGACTTGCCTAACGATATCTCACCTCTACTCCCATGAATTCACCTTTGATTCCAGTGTGAACTGTCAATCATAAGGTAGTAATTGAGTGACTTATCGCTGTACCGTGGTCCCCTAGGTAAAATGACTCAACTAAGAATTACCAGTTCCAGTTTGGTATAGCAAAAAGGTGAATGTAGTGGTTTGGGAAAATAGCAGGGGTCCAAGAATAACAATGTATAACCAGTCTATGGCAAGTAAATCTTTTAATAAGTCTTTTGAGAAGAAATGGGTGAGATTTTTAAAAATTTATACATATATATACACACATAATATATAAAAGACTGGTGATAGTAAATCTTACAACAGGCAGGTGGAGATCTGCTTCTCAGTTAATAATTATAAAATTCTTGGATCCCTGAATAGAAATTTAAAAAAGAAAAAAAAAAAGGCAAAAGAGGCAGTATCACAGCTTAGAGTCACTTGATGACTGTTTTACTGTTCTCCATATTGTTTTGTTTATAATTAGTCCCTGCCATAGTTTTTCACACTTAAAAACTACAAAGGAATTATTTTGGCTAATATAGTATGACCCATTTCAGTAGCACAGTAAAAGTAAGCTGTCTTTTCATTCTTTCACCCAATTGGTGGTGAAAACATCAGTATGCATGCATTATCACTGGTGTCACAACTGTAAGTTAGCAGTTATGCTCCTATAGCTGATGTGATCAAACTTTAAAATAAACATTGCGCTAAACCTTTTAAAAATAAAATAATACATTTGTTTTGGAGTGTGTAGCACGACCATGTGGTACCTTTTGGATGAATTCTGATAACTTTAAATAGTGAATGTAGTTTTGTAATGTTTAGACTCTTGAAGAGCTGCTTTCTGTTTTAATGTTAAAATTCTTGTGTCTTAGTTTAACGTGGATGTAATTCCATGTAAACAGGTATGGAAGTAGGAAATGTTTAGGTTGGACTGGTGGATTATTAATTAACTTTCGTGGGTTCTTGGGAGTCAACATTACTAAAGCAGTGTGAATCCCTGTTTGCTTCAGGGCGAGATGTGTGACAGAGGTGGCATCAAGCTCTTACAGTCCCAACCCTCCAACGGAAATGGGCGAAGATCTCAGGAATGGCATCGGTCACAGGAAATCGATAGTGGCTGGCTGCTAGCATGGCCACTTGGGGCTTAGGCAGAAATAGAGCCATGGTACTGACGAAAGGGACCATAGCACTTGGAATAAAACTCAAAACAAGACTTTATTCATATTTTATAGAAATTACATTTAACCACTTCAGCATTGTAAATGTGGATAACTTAATACCTAACTATGTAAGAAAGTAAAATTTTAACATGTTAATGTGGAGAGATTTTTATTTTTGTATCTTGATGACTTAATTGTAAGCAACAAAGTGGTTATACCATCTAAATTTTTTTATAGCCTTCCATGTTAAACTATAAATAAGTAATTAGTTTTAAAATTGTTTTGTATTTTCTTATTCCTATTCCCTTTACCCTTTGACATCTTGAAATGTTACCACTACGTCCTCATGATGTTCTTCTATCAACCCTGCTTAGGATGAGAACAAGTTGAGCAGTGCTAACGGTCATGAAGAACGTAGCAAAAAGTAAGTTTTAAGAAGGGACCTGGGGGGTGGTGATGAACTTTATGTGATTGAGGTCTTAAGTTGTGTTTCTGTGGCTAAAGCATCAAACTGAGGTTCTCTTCTGATACTCTTTTTCCTCTTAGAAAACTGATTCTTTACCTTTTGAGAAGAGAAACTCCTTGAGGCTAGACTATGGATTCTTTTGCCTAGATTTCAGGATATTGTGGTTTCAGGGAACATCTGGATACCTTCCCTTTCAAGTCCATTATGATAATCTGGTTAAGAGTTTGTTTTAAGATGGGTATGGTGCCACCCACCTATAATCCTAGCCACTTGGAGGCGAGGCAGAGGATTGCAAATTTGAGGTCAGCCTGGGCAACATGGCAAGACACTACCTCAAAAAAACAACAAAATGAGCTAGGTGCTGTGATACACGCCTGTAATCCCAGCTACTTAAGAGGCTGACGCAGGAGGCAAATTCATGTTGGCCTCAGCAATTATTTTGAGACTGTCTCAAAATAAAAAGGAGTGAAGATGTACCTCAATGGTAGAATGCCTCTGGTTTAAATCCCCAGAACCCAAGACAAAGGATTCCTGCATTAGAACTTTTGTTTGTTGTAAATTTCACTTTGGCTTAATATTTGGTGATAATGTTGATAAAACTATTTGTTGAACTTAGGAGACAGAGGTAATATTAGAAATTTTATAATCAGGCCATGGGCAGTGTCCTGAATCATTAAAGGAATTCTGCTCCTTGCTGTCTAAAGGCAGCACTTTTGGTAGTGATGAGATAGCATACATAAATACTACTTAGGCATTTTAAACTGCAGTAGATTTAATAGTGAGAATGTACTTTTGAAAATTATGAGTATTTTAAGCAATTTTGGGGAGTATATATGTAACCCATTCTAGAAACTTGCTGCTACAGACTGTTAACAGATTAACTGAATCCCCTTTATAAGGTTGGAGCCTATCAGTTGTTGAAGTTTCCTTTCAGTTCTAAGGTTAGTGATTTCTTACACGTGCTGTGGTCATGTTATGAGCATTAAGTTGTTTCACTAGCCTGTTTTTATATGTTAAAGCATTTTGTCAACATTTCTGACCCCATAATATATAATGAAAAATTACCATGTTTGTGTAAATATGTCAAAATAGACTGTACTGTCATGTATAACTAAAAAGAACAAATAAAAAAAAGAAAAATATTAAGATGGCCACTTAATTTGATTCTTTTTGGCTCTTTTTCTCCTAAGAGCTCAAAGTGCTTCATAACTACCTCAGTCATCCTCACAACAGCTTTGTTAGGTAGGTTGATAATAATTTCATAAAATAGATGAGAAAATTTTTGGATTTGGGTTTGCTGGGCCAGTAATTCTTTTTATAATGCCCTTAAAATAATGATAGTAATGGATAATTTGTGGAAAACATCGTTTTTCCTGGTACAGGCTTATGTGGTAATAATTTAGTTTCTAATTTATCACAGGTGAATGTGGGTATCAGGTTGGGTTTCATCTTGATTGTATGAGATAACCAGCTAATTATTTCAGGGTTTATGTCATCTGGTTTTAAACCTTTACAAAAGTTATGTTTTCTTAGTGTTTCTGATTTGAGTTTTTGAATCAAAAAACCCAGGAACAGGTTTCTGTATTGACATAAATTATCCCATATAGATGTCATACCTCTCAGCTAGGTAAAAGCTATGATTTTGTCTTAAATGTCAAAAGGATGAGGTCATACACTTTAGGATGCAGACTTTTATTGTACCATTTTCTGAAGTTACCCCTTGCTCCTAATGTCATCTAGAGTTTATATTTGTTGTTGTCCTGCATCTAAAATCTTCAAGGCCAGCAAGCTTTTATAAGGAAATCAAGCATCAGGTTCTGCATAAATGGTATTTAGTGGCCTTAATTTAATGTAATGTAAAGAATCCTGAGGGCTGGGTGTGGTAGTACATGCCTATAATCCAGTGGCTTGGGGGCTGAGTCAGGAGATTCCCAAACTTAAAGCCAGCCTCAGCAACTTGGCAAGACCCTGTCTCAGAAAGGACTGGGAATATGGCCCAGTGATTAAGTGGCCCTGGGTTCAATCCCTGCTACCAAAAAAATTAAAAGTCCTGAGGACTAAATAAGAAGAATTGGTAATTTAATTGGCCATATTATTCTTTGAGGGAGGCCTGTTTCCCAATACTCTTTTAAAACCTATAAAATATTTCTGTCAGAATTTCTGTCCTAAATTAAATCTGGTTGTATAAATGGTACCTTTGTTTAGTCAGGAGCTTTTTAAAAATTTTTTTTCTGAAGGAACTTTATTTTTCAAATTTGAATATAAAAAAATTTTGCCTTTAGGAAAAATTGTCTTACAAGGGAAAATGCTGCTTTGCATTTTTCCACCCTAAAACTGTGTTTAAAAAAGCCACTGACTCTTGATGTAGTTCTTAATAAGGTAATATGAAAGTTCCCAGTGAGAAATAGTCCACTGTGTTTCTTTTTTAAAAAATAGTGTTTCTGAACATGTAACATTTCATTGTATCCCAGTAATAAAAGGAACTGTTTCATATAACACAAAAGGTTACCAATTAGCTTGTTATTGAAGAGCTACACTCCTGAGTTTGGCAAGACCTCAAAATATGCTTTGTACAGTAACTTAAGTACCTGAGGTTGCCCTCATGGGAGTATTTGTTAGTGTAACCAATTTTGCAAAGTATAAACTGGCATCTGTTCCTTTCAGCTCAAATTAGAGAACTACTCAAAAAAGGATAACAGTAAAATGACACAGTTGAAATATTTGGCTACTGTGGTGTGGATTATCTATAAATTTTGGGATAAATGACTTTTCTATTTTTTTTTCTTATTTTCCAGAATACTTTGCATTTAAAATTTAGATCTTCTTACATGGAAGAGGTCAAATCCAGTTATAGCAAAACACCTTTACAGCAGAGGCCATATAACCAAAAAGTCCAAAGGCCCAGACCAGTGGACCATTTACTTCAATGATGTTCAGTACAAAATTCCACTGCCACTAAAGACTTTGGAAAGTCCCATTTAAGTTGTAACAGGATTTGACTATTAGTATGGATTTTGATAACAGTTCTTTAGTTAACCTAACACGTATTCTTTGAAGCTGGAATTTGTTACAGAGAAGTATACTGGTTTCTTATATAACTTTTTGTCTGGACTTTTATGTAGAAGATTATGTTTCCTTAATGTCTTAGTACATTGTTGTCTTTTTACCTGTCGGGGGTTGCCTTCAGATGTGGGTGGGAACTCATTTACAAAAAGTCCTAGGGAGATCTTAAGTTAAAATTAGCTCTCTGATTTTTGAAGTCTTGTCTTTGGCAGAGTACATTTTGGGGTCTGTGAGAGATAAATATAGAGGTTGGCTACCTGTGCTATGGGCCATCTGTGAGGAGAGAAAATCTTTATTAATAGTGTCTTTTGTGGGGAATAAAATACTTTTTATCTTGTCCCCTAATTTGAATTATGTATGGTTATAAACACATACTTTTGGTTTTAACCATCTCACAGAATTTTGTAAGAGATAGTGTCAGGTTTTTGAGGCAAAATGGAATGTTATCTGTTGCCCTTCTGGGCATTGCTTTGACTTCTATATAAATAATGAGTGTAGCCTAATTTTCTGTCATGTGCTGCCTAGCATATACATTTCTGACAGTCAGGTGGATTATCTTGAAATTTTAGACAAAGTTTCTGCCTCCTTGGAAAGCTCTACATCTCCTTGTGATTGGAGTGTGGGTTTCAAGATTCCAGAAGGTGGGTGTCTTCATTTTCTATTTTCAATGCACTCTAAGGTGACCTGCTTATGGGTTGGTTCTCTGAAGCGGACCTCAGTTGCTCTTATGCTAACTACTTTGATAAGGACTCAACAGTTAATTAAATTTCCAGATAATGATGTAGCGTTCTCAGTATTCAATCTATAAACCACTACACATGGACATTTTAGTGGAATAAATTTTATTTTGAAATGTCTTTTAATTTATATTGAAAATCTGAAGGCACCTCTAATTAGATGATGACACAGATATAGATTGTAAGATTTAATTATGAAATGAAGGGTAGAATACTGTGAAGAATTTAGAAATGAAGATATATATATATATATAAAACTGGATTTTTTTTTACCTTTCAGAGTTTGAGATTTTATAAAGATTTGTGAAGGTCAAGTTGATTATTTTATTGCACTCCACAGGCTTGTGTAAACTGGTGTAAAAATGGCATTCTCCATTTTCTGGTGTATTTATTACAACTTTAAATTTTAAGTATTTTAAATGGTCACTTGAATGTCTAATAGTTTCAAAGTGCATTCAGCTGCATTAGTTCTAAGTGTCATTTGTTATTGTTTCTTTGCTTATAAAAAGCAAATTGTTGATGCCTATGTGGCCCTTTGAAAGTATAAAATGTTCTGTAAATTGTTTAAAAATGGACTTAGTATTATGAAAATTTTTATATGTGAACAACTACTATTACTCATGGATTTATTGTAACTTGATTTTAGTACTTTACCTTGTGGATTATTAGATAGTTAACATGAAAGTTTTACTAAAATGCTCAGGTTTTTCTTGTACCTGGCAACTAGTCCTATTTCTCGTTAAAGCTGTAGCTGACTCAGGAAATCCTTGCAGTTCCTGCTCTTAAAACACTATGGCTCACAATACATTGACTGATCATTTTCAGTTATAAGGCAAAGATGGGGGTTAGTGTTAACCACATCTAGAATTTTTTTTTAAATATGATTATGTATCATTGTATGATAGTTAATAGCAAAATGAGTTTACAAAAGGATAAAAATTCTGAGTGTTAAAAAAAAGCATATTTTGGTGGGGTTTTAAAACAGCAAGATAATGATGATTTGTTTTCTTCTCAGGAGAAAAAAAAGCAAGAGCAGAAGTCGCAGTCATGAACGAAAGCGAAGCAAAAGTAAGGAACGAAAGCGAAGTAGAGATAGAGAAAGGAAAAAGAGCAAAAGCCGGGAACGGAAGCGAAGTAGAAGCAAAGAAAGGAGACGTAGCCGCTCAAGAAGTCGAGATCGAAGATTCCGAGGACGCTATAGAAGTCCCTAGTATGTAACTATAATTATGATTTTTGGTTGGAGGGTCATTCTCTGGGTATTTGGGAAGCAATTTAACTTGAGATTTGACTTAGGAGACTTTATTTTTCAGTAAGTGGTTAAAAGTATTAAAAATTAAGGATGTTGGCATTAAAGATTAGAAAAGCAAAGGTTCAATTTTTGAAGAAATAAATGAAACTTCTATTTTACCAGGTATACTAGCTTATTTTCTGTCAATCTAGCTAAAATTCTAATTGTATGCCCATCAAAGTTAGACTGAAGCACTATCATGCTTGAAAAAAGAAAGCTTAAAGGTGTGTGAGCTATAAAATATTCTTTATTAAATATATAAGATTTAAAACTTAGGTGTATAGATTACAAATGTGATTAGTTAATTAAGTTACTCTTAAGTTACTGGCTCTTTCCAGCTGAAACTACAGATAATTTATGAATTTGTTACATGTGCTCCTTGATAAAGATCATTTGTTAGGCTCATCACACATTATTTTTAAGCCCTCTTTAATAGTAGTAAGATACTCTAAAAGTGCTTTGAAGATTAAATCACTACAGGATATTTGATGTGGTTAAACAAGTCGGAAGGAAGTTAAAAAATACCTGTATTAACTTTGGAAAGACAATTCTAAGAATGAATTGAAACTACTAGTAATCCTTAATGCTTTGTTGTTATTTCCTATTTAATCACAGTTATAAACTATATGGGATATACATACTTTCAGTTTTAAATTTTGAATGATTGAGAATAGAATTTAGAGAGACCTTGAAACAGTCCTGGTTCTTTTGAAAGATACTTAGCTCTCTTTTTTTCTTGTCTTTTAAGAAGGAACTAATTTGGAGTAAGCTGATAATGAGTAATAAATGAGATAGTAATGTAAAATTACTTAAGAGTACTTCCTGGAATTATGGAATGTTTTGATTTGAAGGCACTTGGAGTTAGTAACAGATTTCTGATTTGGATCTTTTCATGTTTAATGAATTGAACTACCTGTTTTCTAGGTTTCTCCAACATGCCTTTGTAATATAATTTTTCACTATCTGAAAATGGACCACAAAGCTATTTTAATTCTAAATGCTGTATTAAAATTCTTTGCTTTTTGTCCAGTTCCTCAAGTTATTGTATTACTAAAATGGGAATATATAACATCATTTTGCCAGAATGAACCAAATGGAAGCAACTGTTTCTAATTTGAATGCATATTTAATTTCTGCTTATAATCCTGATCTTAATGGTTTAAAATTTAAATTTAAAATTTGTTTTGGGTTTCAGATGATTTTTAACTATGGAGGCTATCATGGAGATTGATTCAGAATTAAAGGGAAAGGAAGTAGTGTATAGATTCTTTCTTGAATTTTAATTTATCCAGAAAATGTATATTCTCAATTATCATTTGTCTGAATTGGAAAGGACCTTTCTCATTATAAAAGAATTGTATTTGGAAGTGCTTGGTTATTATAAGTAGAAGTTTTCATGAAAACTAAACCAAACGTGTTTCGTGGCCTCTTTGTTTTTTAATATATATATTTTTAGTTTGGACATAATATCTTTATTTTATTTGTTTTTAGGTGGTGCTGAGGATTGAACCCAGCACCTCACACGTGTAGGCAAGCGCTCTACCGCTGAGCCACAACCCGAGCCCCTCATGGGCTCATTTAATTTTGCTACTCTGGAGTAGGATAGCAGGATGAGCACTAAAGTATATATATCCAACTGGTCCCTATAAGTTAGCTTCTTGTTTACAAGGCACAAGTTACCAATTTTATAAAAGCCACCTAATATCTGTTCCAAAATACTTTTTTAATTCATGAAATTCTCAGATTTTCTGAAGAGTTGGTAAATTGCCATCACACAATTTTTATGGAATGTTTTGTTACAGAGAACTGAAGTACAGTGCACTAAGGTGTGCCTTTGTGCTGTGTAAGACTATTGCATAGATAAAATTCTAGTGACTATGTAAGGAATTTTTCCCTTTTTAGCTGGGTGTGATGGCACATACCTGTAATCCCAGTGACTCAGGAGGCTGAAACAGGAGTATTGCAAGTTCAAGGTCAGCCTCAGTACTTTAAGCCAGCGCCCTGAGTAACTTAGTGAGACCCTGTCTCAAAAAAGGCTGGGGTTATTGCTCAGGGGCAAAATGCCATTGGGTTCAATTCCCGTTTTGAAAAGAAGTTGTTGAAACAAAAAAACTTCTATATATTGTATATGTATATGTAAAATTTTCATATGTGCTCTCAAGAAAGTATCTACAAATGGATTCTTGGGATCTGCACACAAAATAGTTTAAGTTACTGCTGGTGTGAGGAAAGTTCAGAGGGATCTAGTTTTACATGTGTGCTTTTCAAGTCTCAGGAATATATTCATATATATTTTGAAAAGTGTATGCGAATGGGTGCAAACATTTTCAGAATCTTAAATATTTGAGGCTGTAACCTATGGTCTTGGCACCTCAAAGTGGTCCAGGATGGATAAATATAAGGGCAAGCATGCCTGGGAAAGAGTTAAGCTTTTTCGAAGTCTTTGTTTCCTCTTCATACTTGAGGTGGAAAACAAGCAGCCTAACAATGTAAAACTTGCTGGAGAGCGCATGAATGCGATCTTAGCAAGACCCTAAACCTGTAACTAGTGTAATTTTGTGTTTCCTTTTTAGCTCCGGACCAAAATTTAACAGTGCCATCCGAGGAAAGATTGGGTTGCCTCATAGCATCAAATTAAGGTTTTTAAACATACTTCTGAATTGTTTAAATTGTTTTTCAAGGAACTTCTGTGATTTACATGTTTGGAGTAACTTCTGAAACTTTTTAACTTTGCAGCAGACGACGTTCCCGAAGCAAAAGTCCATTCAGAAAAGACAAGAGTCCTGTGAGGTAGCTGTTGTCCCTTTTTTTTTTTTTCCCTTCTTTTAAACTTATAGTTTTATATGGGTTTTGCCAAAATGAGAAAAGGGGCGGGGGGAAACACTTTTGCAGTTCATGTTACTTCTAATTTAAGCCCAATAATTTGGATCATGTTATATATGTTGTTTTCTTTAGTAGTATTAATACCTTGAAGTCAATGTGAATTGTCATATGTGAGTTTTCAGTAGCTTTCGTTTTAATTTCATTTATTTAAAAAGCGCGAAATACTATTATGATGTGTAGATAACTTATTTGAGTTAACAGAATTTTCAGTAGCTAAAGAAAGGTTCAAAAGACTTGACTAATTTTTGTTATTAGTAAATAAAGAGTCAAAGTACTTGTGTTAACAAGTTTTAAATAGCTCTACTTTTTAAAAATTTTTTTTGTTATGAATGGATCTTTTATTTTATTTGCTTATTTATATTTGGTACTAGGAATTGAACACAGAGCCTCATACGTAGGAGGCAAATGCTCTCGCGCTGAGCTACAACTCCAGCCCCAGTAGCTCTACTTTTCTGAATTAGGGCTGGGGATATAGCTCAGTTGGTAGAGTGCTTGCCTTGCATACATAAGGCCCTGGGTTCAATCCCAGGCTATTCTTATGCTCAGATTCTCAAAGCTTTACATGGATTATTTGTCTCCTAAATAAAAGTCCTGTCAAGTATGTCATTTAAAAAAAAAAAAAAATTTATGTGGTATTGAGAATCAAACCCAGTATGCGAGGCAAGCACTGCACCGAGGCAAGCACTGCACCACTGAGTTACAACCCCAGCCCCCAAGTATCATTTTTGTTCAAGGAAAATTTTTCTGTATAATAGCTTTTTTTTTTGGTACCAGGGATTGAACTCAGGGGAACTTAACCACTGCGCCACATCCCTAGCCCTTAATTATATCATATTTAGAGACAGGGCTCGCTTAGTTGCTTAGTGCTTCACTGTTGCTGAGGCTGGCTTTGAACTTATGATTCTTCTGCTGCCCCATCCTGGGATTATAGGAGTGCACCACCACGCCTGGCTGTGGTAGCATTCTTTCCTGTCATTTCTAACTTATCTTAAAAAAAAAGGAGTATTATTATTATTTATTCTTTTTTTTTAGGTGGACACAATATCTTTATTTTTATTTTTATGTGGTGCTGAGAACAGAACCCAGGCATGCCAGGCGAGCACGCTACCACTTGAGCCACATCCCCAGCCCTGGGGAGTCTTATTTTTTAATATATATTTTTTGGTTATAAATGGACACAATGCCTTTATCTATCTATCTGTTTATTTATTTGTTTATTTTAATGTGGTGCTGAGGATCTATTCCGATGCCTCATGTGTTCTAGGCAAGCACTCTACCATTGAACCACAGCCCCAATCCTAAAAAAGGAGTATTGTTTAAACTTTGAGTTGATTGTGTGTTTTTGTGTATTATAGTTACACTGCAGAATTTAGGATTTGATAAAGATCTTAATGATTATTAAATTTTCTTTCTAATAAAACATTTTTTTAGTTGTTAGTGGACCTTTATTCGTGCTGAGATGTGAACCCAGTGCATTATACATGCTAGACAGGTTCTTTACTACTGAGCCAAAACCCCAGCTTCTAGGCTTATAACTTTAAGGATTAAGTGAGGACCTAGATACTTTGGAACAGAAATATTCTTTTGGGGGACAGGGTGTATGACTGAGCCACATCCCTAGCCCTATTTTGGATTTTAGAGTTGCAGAGTGCTTCTTTCAGTTTTATAGGATAGCTTTGAACACATGATCCTCCTGTCTTAGCTTTCCAAGCCACTGGGATGACAGACATGTTGTCGTGTGCCGGGCCAGAGATATTCTTTTTAAAAAATATTTTTTAGTTGTATATGGACACTTATTTATATGCAGTGCTGAGAATTAAACCCAGTGTCTCACACTTGCCAGGCAAGTGGTCTACCACAAACCCACAAACCCAGCACCCAGAGAAGATCTTAATAGATATTTTTCCTTTAAATTTGTGAAAATTTAGTTTTATCTGTTGTGCTTTTGTTTTTTTCTATTGAGCATTTAGAAGTATGTTCTGTATTTATGCCTTTTTCTTATTGATACTTGTTAAAGTAATTTCATTTTTTAATTAAAAAAAATTAGATATACTTGTAGATGGACAGAATGCCTTTTTTTTTAATTTATTATGTGGTGCTGAGGATCAAACCCAGTGCCTTACACATGCTAGGCAAGTGCTCTGCCATTGATGTGTAGCCCTGGCCGATTTTTAGCTTTTGATTTAGTTATGATTACTGTTTCTGTGGTCTTCAATTATTTCAAAAAATCATGATTCAGATGCTAAACTTGTTGAATTTTATAAGCTTAATATAATTAAATGATAAACATTCAGCTAGCTTACTTTTGTAAAATAAACTAGCTTTCCTTACGTGAAGTACTTTTTATCATTTGTGATTTTATTATTTTTGTCTTTATCCTTTTTGATTTTTAAACAATTTAATGGCCTTATGGTTTTGTTGTGGGGAAACATCCACTATACAGATTTTGCATGTCTGGTACTTGTGGTCAGGGTTTGTATTACTGTCATTAAACTGTTAAGTTGTCTGAGTTACCTTTTAATATTGTAGAGAAATGACTACTTTGAACATTGTAAGTCAAGTGGAGGTCTGTCCTGATAGAATGCAAAATGTGATTAGAAGATACATTTAGGGGGCTGAGGATGTGGCTCAAGCAGTAGCGTGCTCGCCTGGCATGCGTGCGGCCTGGGTTCGATCCTCTCAGCAACACGTACAAACAAAGATGGATGTTGTGTCTGCCAAAAAAACTAAAAAATAAATATTAAAATTCATTCTTTCTCTTTTTCTCCTCCTCCCCCCCTCTTTAAAAAAAAAGATTTAGTTATTCTGTTGAAGGAATTGGGTCACATGGAAATGAATTACAGACATTGTGTATAAAAAAATTTAGTAAATATGGACTTGGACATAGGTATTAATTTTGATAAAAGTTTATTCTGCTTACTGAAAATGTACTTTTAAAAAAATTACTTGAAAAGAACAAGTTATAAAGTTAATTCTGTGTTCTTTATTCTTAGGGAACCTATTGATAATCTAACTCCTGAGGAAAGAGATGCCAGGACAGTTTTCTGCATGCAGTTGGCAGCAAGAATTCGACCAAGAGATTTGGAAGAGTTTTTCTCCACAGTAGGAAAGGTAACAACCTTTTTTGGGAGGTCAAGTAGTAGGTGGAAGTTGGAGTGCTTTAAAAATTAGCATTATGGCAGGTAAAATGGAGAAAAACATATATGCTCCAAGTTTTTCATGAGATTTATTTTTGTTATCCTGCCCATAAATAACTTTTTCCATATCTGTAAGTTGTGGTGTTAGAGTTAATGTAATTGCCCTTTCATCAAAATGCTTAAATAGTGCTTGACGGTCAGGTAAGTGGGTCATCAAGATATGTGAAACTCTGGTTTCTTTTATTTTGGGTACTAGGGATTGAACCCATGCGTGCTCTACCACTGTATGGTATTCCCAGTCTAATTTTTTTTTTAAGACAGAGAGAATTTTAATATTTATTTTTTAGTTATCGGCGGACACAACATCTTTGTATGTGGTGCTGAGGATCGAACCCGGGCCGCACGTATGAAAGGCGAGCGCGCTACCGCTTGAGCCACATCCCCAGCCCCCCAGTCTAATATTTTGATATTGGGTCTTGTGAATTTTTTTTTTTTAAGAGAGAATTTTTTAGTTTTCAGTGGACACAACATCTTTATTTTTATGTGGTGCTGAGGATCGAACCCAGCGCCCTGTTCATGCCAGGCGAGCGCGTTACCGCTTGAGCCACATCCTCAGCCTCTGGTCTTTTGAATTTGCTAAGGGTCTTGCAGAGTTGCTGAGGCTGGCTTTGTTTGAACATGGAGTTTTCTTGCTTTAGTGTCTGCACACCTTGTGATTACACCTGTGCACCACTGTGCCTTCTGAGAAAATGTTTTGATTCCCAGTCAGTGAGAAAATAAAAAAACGGAGGGGTTAGCTGAATGGAGGGTACTTGTAGTCATATCACTTGAGAGGCCAGACTGGCAAAATAATAAGCCCCTTCTGGAAAAAAAAAAGAGGAAAGAAAGAAAGAGATTAAGGGTTGATCTGAGTATTAGAGACCATCCTTAGTATGCATGAAGTCTTGGGTTCGCTCCTCAACACAAAGAAAAAAAAATAGAAGGCCAATAATCCTTGAAATTTATCGCTTTTTTTGTGTCTCTGTGCATGCCGCAGTTTGAAGTCAGGGAACTTTATTTCTTTGTATTTTGTTCCATCATCAATGCACCTTGTTTTCTGAATACGTATTTTACATTCCTGTGTTTGTTTCTGTGGTACTGGGGGTCAAACAAAAGGCTGACAAAGTAATAGACAAAATGTTGTACCACTGAGTTGTAGTCCTAAACCTATTCATGTAATTCGTGCCTGCTTTTGAAATAATTATATTCATATAGGTCACAGTGCATTATTGCACAAGCAGAATTCTATTAAATGTGTATTTTCTTTTCAGGTTCGAGATGTGAGGATGATTTCTGATAGAAATTCAAGACGTTCCAAAGGGATTGCCTATGTGGAGTTTGTCGATGTTAGCTCAGTGCCTCTAGCAATAGGATTAACTGGCCAGCGAGTTTTAGGAGTTCCCATCATAGTACAGGCATCACAGGTAATTTTTTTCTTAAGAATTGAGTTACTGATACTGGAAGCCTCCTAAATCTTCCTGAAATGATATTATGTCCTGATGAGGTTTTATATACATTAATCATCACATTACCTTGAGTCAGATGATATTAGGTTGCTTTATTGAAACTTTGTTGTGACTCCTGTGGTATACTGTGTTCTTAACACCATATTCGTGCCACACACCTGTAATCCCTGTGAATCAAGAGGCTGAGTCAAGAGGATCACCAGTTCATAGTCATATTGAGCAGTTCAGCGAGGCCAAAAGAAAGTTGGCAAGACCTTGTCTCAATAAAAAGATCTGGGAAGTGATTCAATGGTAGAGTGCCTTTTGTTTAAATACCTACTAACCCCCCAATAAATAAATAAATGCACCTTAATCTAAGTTATAAACATTCATTTCATTAAAGGCTGGGCGCCATGGTGCAAACCTGAAATCTCAGCGGCATCAGAAGCTTGGATTACTATTTTAGCAAGACTCTGTCAAGATAAATAGGGGTGGGAATATTGCTCAGTTTTAAGCATCCCTGTGCCTGATATTTGGTACAAAAAAAAAAAAAAAGGCCTGAAAAAAACTTAGTATTGAGAATCATAAATGTATTTTCTCAAGAATGTATTTTCTGGCTGGACTCTTGTGGCACATTCCTGTAATCCCAGTAATTTGGAAGGCTGAGGCAGGAGGATCTCAAGTTCAAAAACAAGAGAGCTAGGCAACTCAGGGAGATCCTGTCTCTAAATAAAATACAAAATAGGGCTGTGGATACAACTCAGTTTAATTCCTTGCCCCTGCAAAAAGGTAGTACTTTTGGGGCCCAGGAGTGCTGAAGGTTACTTGTAATCCCTGTAGCTCAGGAGGCTGAGGCAGGAGGATCACCAGGTAAAGCCATCCTAAGCAACTTACCCAGATCTTGTTTCTAAATACATATCTGGCAATGTGGTTGTGTATTTAAGTGCCCTTGGGTTGTTCAATCCATGGTACAAAAAAGATAAATGAATGAATGTTTTCTTTTCACATGGTATGATTTTATTTTTTTTATTTAACGAATTTAAAAAAGAAATGTTTAGCTGTATAAGGACCTTTACTTAATTTATATATGATGCTGGGAAACCCAGTGCCTCACATGCTAGGTAAGAGCTCTACCACTGAGCCATAAACCAGCCCTAAAAAAGTTTTTAGTTGTGATGTACACAGCATCCTTATCTATCTATCTATCTATATAGTGCTGAAGATCAAACCCAGTACCTCAACACGTGTTAGGCAAGTGGTCTGCCACTGAGTTACAGCCCCAGCCCTAAAAAAAAAAAAATTTAAGTAATGTCTTTACTGGTGGCTGGGTTGCTCACACCAGTGAGGTATGAAGGGAAAAGAAAAACGAATCTTCTATCATTAAATAGTAATATATTTTTACTGTGAAAATACATGCTCATGCAAAAATTTTTTTTTTTTTTAATAGAGTAGTTTGAAACCATTGGTTACAAGATTCTTTTGAACATAAGGGTTTTTTGGGGGGTTGGGTATTTGGGATAGAATGTGGTAACACTTTATCTCTGAACTACAGACCAGCCAATCCCCTTCCCCCCTTTTGTGAGACAGGTTCTCACTAACGGCTTAACCCTTCACTAAGTTGCTGAGCCTCGCCTTGAACATGAGATCTTCCCACCTTAGCTTCCCAGGTGACTGGGATTATAGATGTGTACCATTGCTCCCAGATTAGGTAAAATGTAAAAATCTCATTTGAAGTATTTTTGTTTAATATTCATTTTATGATTTATTGATATCTCACAGTATTTGAGTATTCCTTTGTGGAAATGAATTTACATTGATATTTTAGTTGTTTCGTACACAGAAAAATCAGGATGCCTAAATCTAGTGATTATGTATTTTGAAACTATCCTTAGGATTCAGTACTCTATACATACTGAATAAGCAACCATTTTCTGTTGCTGGTCAGCTTTTTTTTTGGTGGAGGGCTGAACTGGGGTTTGAATTAAGGGGCCTCCGCCACCGAGACACCTCCCCAGCCCTATTTTGTATTTATAGAGAGGATTTCACTGATTAGCACCTCACTTTTTCAAGACTTGGCTTTGAACTCTATGATTCTCCTGCCTCAGCCTCCTGCAGCTTTTTCTTTTCATGGCAAATACGTTTAAATATTTTGTGGAATACGCTAGAAGAACAATGGCCAATCTTTTTCTACTTTAATCCTAAATGTGTGAATCAGGGTCACTTTTCAGCTGAGCTGCATCCCAATACTGTGTGTGTGTGTGTGTGTGTGTGTGTGTGTTTTGAATAACTATGTAGTTCTGATGATCCACTTTGGTGCCTCACACGTGCTAAGCATTTGCTCTACCACTAAGCCTGAAAACCAGTCCTTCTAAGCACCATTTGAGACAGACTTAAGTTAATCACTAAGTTGGTTAAGTTGGTCTTGAGCTCATTTATCCATTTTGAGCTCAGTTATCAGCCTCCTGAGTCATCTGAAGTTGTTTGCTTTTCAATTACTGAAATACATTCATTACTCCATAAGTCTTCAGTTCATCAAAATTACATAATGCTTTTGAAGTTGCGTACAAACTTGATAGAGTATGTCATGTCTACTGTTAACTGCTAAACTGTAGGTATAGCCAACTTACTTGTTAGATTCATTTTTACCATTGTATTATATGTTCTTTTGTATTCCTGATTATTAATCCTGAGTAATGGTCTTTATAAACTGGATAGGAAAATAATCATAGGTTGGCTCAGTTGCAGAAAGCTTGCCTTACTTAGCACACCATGTTGTTTTGTTTTTAAAAAGGCATTCCGTCCATCTACAGTTACCAAAAAATTTTACAAATAAATAATCCTAGCTCAAGTTATTTGTCAGAATGAATAAGAAGAAACCCAGTAGCTGTATGTGAATAAAACTGTGACCTCTCATACTAGTTTGTGACCAGACAAGATCCTTGTTTCAGAATGTAAAATGTAGTTTTATGGTGGATTTAATTTTACATATGAAATATGGAATTTGTGTGTGTGGTGGGGTGCTGGGGATTAAACCCAGAGCCTTGTGCATGCAAGGCAAGCACTCTACCAACTGAGCTATATCTCCAGCCCCTGTATGAAATATGGTATGAGCTTTATATATGATTTGCATATACTTAAATTGATTTTATTATAAAACATACATTTCAGCTATTATTAAGCATTCAGTTCAGTGCCATTAATCATGTTTAAAATGTTGTACTATTACCACTATGTGTCATCAGAATGTTGTATAACATTAAACAGAAAGTATATTCTTTACCCATAATTCTCTGTTCTCTTTCCTTAGTTTATGGTAATCTGTAAACTGCATTCTGTTTCTGACTTTTTTTTTCTTCTAAAGTGATTTATAGATTTTTTTTGGTAACTTGTTTATTTAGCATATTTGTATCTCTAATCTTGGCTGTGGTTGTTATTGAGCATGTCTGTCTGTTCAACCTGATGTATTAGCACTGTTTGTTATGGATTTGTTCATATTTTTCTTGTAGGCAGAAAAAAACAGAGCTGCAGCAATGGCAAACAATTTACAAAAGGGAAGTGCAGGACCTATGAGACTTTATGTGGGCTCATTACACTTTAACATAACTGAAGATATGCTTCGGGGAATCTTTGAGCCATTTGGAAGAGTAAGTACAAGTACATCAATGGATGTTTTAGAAGTTCTTTATACCCAAATGTAGTACATAACGATTTCTGTATGTAGAATTTGTTATTCTAGGGAATCAATTTTTTAAAAAATCATTAAGAATAAATGGTTATGCTGTGCATTTTTAATTAGATCATATTTTGTTTTGGGAGGTTTTCCCCCGTACTACAATTCTACTGGTATGTGGAGAAGCTTCTCTACTATTAAGTTAAGTAATTAAATTATTTCTGACAGAATCAATATCTTACAATGGACAAACACATGGGGGAGAGAGAGTATGTACTATGGATTGAACCCACAGGCTATCACAGCTACTTTTGCAACCCTTTTTATTTTTAATCTTTCTGTGTTGCCAAGGCTGTCCTTGTATTTGTGCATTGCTGGGATTACAGGCATGCACTACCGCCCTTAGCCTAATATTAATCTTTTGGGGGTGTTGAACCAGGGTTTGAACTCAGGACATTCAACCATGGAGTCACATCCCCAGCCCTATTTTGTATTTTATTTAGAGATAGGGTGTCACTGAGTTTCTTAGATCTTAGCTATTGCTGAGGCTGGCTTTGAAATTGTGATCCTCTTGTTTCAGACTCCTTAGCCACTGGGCTTACAGGCATGCATCATGGCATCCAACTTTGAATGTGGTTTTTAAATTTGTTTATCAGCCCACCACCATATGGCATCCGTTTATGAAGTTTTTAAATAATCAGTCATAAAAGGCTTGTTATTGTTGGGGGTGCTTTATTGGAATTGTAGCAGTGCCACTATCAAAGTGTACATTTTGCTCAGTTATCACAACACAAAAAGGTTGAAACCACCAACCAAAACACTAAATAATATAATATAGGTATTATATTTGAATTTTTTTTGCCCTTTTTTTTATATGGGCAGCTTTTAGGGACAGTTTTAATTGTTATAATTGACAAACCATGAAGTTAACTTATTTAAGTGAACAGGCTAATGATTTTTAGTATATTTGGTGTCCACTAATCACTATATTCAGTATTTAGCCTATTGAAACTTTTTTTAAAAAATAAGTGTCTGTAGGCAGGCATGGTGGTGCATGGGTGTAATCCTAGTAGGAGGATCTCAAGTTCACATCCAGCCTCAGCAAAAGCAAGGCGCTAAGCAACTCAGTAAGACCTTATCTCTTAATAAAATACAAGAAAATTGCTGGGGGTATATGGATCAATGGTTGAGTTGTCCTGAGTTCAATCTCTAGCTTTCCCCCATCCCCAGTATGGAAAGGACATAGAATATTTATTTTGTTTCCAACATCTGATGTTATTTTAGAAAGGCCTTAGACTTTTTTTTTTTTTTCCCCTGAGTAAAAAGACAATTATTTTACTTGGCATTGGGAATCAAACCCAGGCTCTACAATTTGGAAGTTGTGTGCTGTGCCTATCACAGCAATACTCACAACTACTTAAGACAATCTTAATTTTATTTCCACCCTTCAGTGTATAACTTCTTGCTTAACGAATTTTCTAGAGTTGCTTTTTTTTTTTTTTTTCAATTAAGGGTTATGAGAAGTTTTCAGTTTTTTCTATTGGGAGGAGAATTTTTTGAATTGTCTATGTATACTATGCTTTTTTTCTCTTGTTGACTTAAATAATTATGACATTTATTTTTAGATTGAAAGTATCCAGCTCATGATGGATAGTGAAACAGGTCGCTCTAAGGGTTATGGATTTATTACAGTAAGTAATTGACTTTTGAAATAAGTAGCATAATGGAACTATATTCTTGTGATTCTCCCCCTTCCAGGAATGTAGATATAGTTACTGTTTTCAAATTGCTGAAATTTGGTAATAGTAGTCATTTTCTTTTCATTTTTTATTTCCTTTTTTGACCACATCGTTAATCCCCAAGTCTCTTGCATGGTAGGCATGTATGTGCTCTTCCACTTATCACCAACCCTTTTTATTTCTTTGTATGTTACTACTTACTAAGTATACTAAATCTCATCATTAGGAGCTTTTCTATTATTATTATTATTATTATATCTGATTTTTTAAAATATGTGGTCAGTTTGCTTACCCAGATCTTTATGAAAGCTGTTATATCATTCTGTTTCTCTTGTGTCACATTTTTAACAATATCTTGTTTCACTTAAAATCTTTTTAAAATGCATACATACCTAACAACCATGTTTGCCTTATTACAAGCGATTGTGGCTAATCATGATAGCCCAGTTCTAATAGGATTATTAAGTGTTAATTGGAGTAATGTAGAACAGATGTGCTTCTACTTTTTCATATGTGTGTAGGGTGCTGGGCTTATAACCAAGGGCCTCATACATGATGGCCAAGTGCTCTACACTGAACTGTATTCTTAGGTTAAAAAGAGGGGGCATGCTGGGCATGTGACTCAGTTGTTACATGTCTCTGGGTTCAATCCCTGGTAACAAATAAATAAAATTCATATGTCTGTTTTAGTCCAACTCTACCTTAATATATTGGTGAAAGGAGAAAAGCTATTTAGAAAATGTAGTACACCAGCATTGTGTTTCTTAATAACATCAGCATGGTTATCCTCTTTCATTTTTCAAAAAAAGGAGTTATAGCTGGGTGTGGCCCATGCCTATAATCCCAGTAGCATGAGAGGCTGAGTCAGGAGGAGTGTGAGTTCAAAGCCAGCCTCGGCAACACTGCCTTTAGCCTGATATTAATCTTTTTTTGGGGGGGTGTACCAGGATTTGAATAGTTTTGTTAAGGGAATATATTCAGATTTTTTTCCTGTAATTTGTATCAGATTTGAGTATTGTATTCTAGGTAATAAAATATTCAGTAATTTAGAAGTACAAGGCTTATATAGAGTTTGGTCTGTAGAACCGTTTTTAATAGAAGACTTAAATTTTACCAAATGATTCATGAACGTTCTATTGTTGTATAGTTATATAAAATTAGATCATATAAATTATTTGCATGGCATATTTGTATTAAATGGTTGATATCTTTTCATTTAACTAGCATATACAATTATTATGATCTGAGTAAGCATAATTGTTATTTTCTAAAGGTAATTAAACCCTGGGATCACATCCCTAGTGTTTATAATGTTTGTTTGTTTGTTTGGGGGGCATCGTGGGAATTATAGTATGCATCTTTATGCCTGGCTGAAATTTTTTTTTTAATTTTTTTTGATATTTATTTTTTTTTAGTTTTTGGCAGACATAACATCTTTATTTTATTTGTATGTGGTGCTGAGGATCGAACTCAGCGCTGCATGCATGCCAGGCGAGGACGCTACCGCTTGAGCCACATCCCCAGTCCCTGAAATTTTAATTTCTCATTGTGTTTTCCTTCATGAGTGGAAAAAAATCTTATCAACATTTTAAAAATAGGCTTGGGGATATACCTCAGTGATAAAGCACCCCTGGGTTCAATTCACAGGGGTCAAAAAAATTTTAAAAATCATTTTGGTTTTTGAAAATTTATTTTTCAGATTTTGTTATTAATATCCCATATTGCCAACCGTAAAATAATATCTTTTCTTTCATTGAAATTATTTGTCAATAAATTTTGATTTTAATTTGTATAATTTTAAGGTCTGATCTGTTACTTAAATCTTGAAATCTATTTCCCTATCTACCTGGTAGTCATTATTGAGTATATTTATTAGGGTTATGTGTATGTGTATAAATAAAAGGTTGTGAATCTCCTCTTCTTTCCCTCCCCAATTGTAGTTTTCTGACTCAGAATGTGCCAAAAAGGCTTTGGAACAACTTAATGGATTTGAACTAGCAGGAAGGCCAATGAAAGTTGGTCATGTTACTGAACGTACTGATGCTTCTAGTGCTAGTTCGTTTTTGGATAGTGACGAACTGGAAAGGACTGGAATTGACTTGGGAACAACTGGTCGTCTCCAATTAATGGCAAGACTTGCTGAGGGTATGTTTCTCGTGGTGTTTGTCATAATTTTTTACAGGTGTACTGATGAAAAACTAGTATAGTTTTAGGTATTATACCTTTTCTTATTTCTGACTTAGCTGAAAGTGGTAGTATGGATCCAGAAAACTTTTTTTTTTTTATTAAAGAGAGAGAGAATTTTAATATTTGTTTTTTAGTTTTCGGCGGACACAACATCTTTGTTTGTATGTGGTGCTGAGGATCGAACCCGGGCCGCACGCATGCCAGGCAAGCGCGCTACCGCTTGAGCCACATCCCCAGCCCTCCAGAAAACTTTCTTTCTCTTTTTCTTAGCATAGTAAACTAGAAGTGTTTGAGGACATTTAGAGAATGTGCCTTTGAATTTCTCTTCTTTCCTCCTGCCAAATTAAACCACTTACTTTGTAAATCTATTCTTTTACAGGTACAGGTTTGCAGATTCCACCAGCAGCCCAGCAGGCTTTACAAATGAGTGGCTCTTTGGCATTTGGTGCTGTGGCAGGTAGGAATTGAATCTTTTCTAATTTGAAATCATTTATTTTTTTCATCTAATTCGAAAATTTGCCAAATTTTTGCATTTAAAAGGACTAACTGAGAATTCAATTCATCAAGTACTTTTAGCATAAATTTCTAGAGTACATGTAAGGAAGTATACATTTTGGATTGAATTGTGTCCACTAAACATGTATGCCCCAGGTTTTAGTGGGAATTAATATAAATTTAGAAAGGTTAAAATATCACTCTTGATGAGAATCACAAGTTGATATAATGAGGATGAAAACATTTCTTTTCAATAATGTTTGAGTTGTGAAAACAATAGATCCTTAAACTTAAAATAATTGCAAAAGTAACAGTGTATGAGGTAATTGCCTTCTTAATATCATGTAGGATTTTGACTTGGGGAATGACATACTTGGAGAAAAGAAAAAAACGGGAGAACTGACAATTTTTTGCTTCATGGTTTTTGTTACAATACAAACCTTATCTTTTTAATGGAGAACATTATTATTATTAAGGGAGGTGTGTTTTGTTATTTCGTTATTTGCCTTCTTGGTGGATGGCTAGAAGTGTTTGAGGACTTTGAGAATATGCCTTTGAATTTCTTTCATTCCTCCTGCCCATGACTTACATTTTAACCTGATTTGTAGTTAGTCTCTAGTGTTTCTGACAATTATGCCACTGTATTCTTGGGTGGGGGTTGAGTGGGGTGGGATGGTGGTTGGTACCAGTTATTGAACTCAGGGTCACATGATCACTGAGCAACATCACTGCCCCATTTTGTATTTTATTTAGAGACAGCGTCTCACTGAGTTGCTTCACACCTTGCCATTGCTGAGGCTGGCTTAGAACTTGCCATCCTCCATCTTCACCCTCCCAAGCGAGTGGGATTACAGGAATGTGCCGCTGTATTCTTTTTGAAAAATCATAACTATTGGGGCATTTTTGTATTTGATGCCTCTCTTAACTCTCTGTATTCCATTTGTTTCAGTGCATTATTATTTTTTACTTTTAAGATTATTATCAATTTAAAGGCTGGGGATATTGTATAGCTCATTTGGTAGAGTGCTTGCCTCAAATGCATAAGGCCCTGACTTCAATCCTCAGCACCACAAAATAATAAATAAGTAAATTACCAATTTAATTTTGTATAGTGACTGAATGGTCATAGAATGCCACTTGCTGTAAATGCATCTCTGTATGAAATATATCTTTTCTTAGGACTTGATACGGATTTTTTTAAAACCTGAAAACTATCCCCTTTTATTACTGTACATGTTATTCTTTGATAATTTAGAAAATATTTGTCAACTATATCCTAGATATTCTAGTAGATGATAGTAACAAAGATTTTTGTGCCCTACCTTCATGGAATTTATAGTGAAATACGAGTCATACCCTGATTGTAAATTTCTATGTAAATATTTTTTGCTGTTTTTTAAAATAATTTTTGATGTTGCATAGTATGCCCACTATGACTATTTTATTTTTGCAGTTTCCTGGGTGCATGCTTATGTTTTTGTTTGTTTGTTTGTTTTTCCTTTGTAGTGGCATGTTTTCTTTTTCCTTTGTACTTGGAATTTAACCCAGGCATTCTTAATCATTGACTCACATCCTAAGCTCTGTTCTTATATTTTATTTAGAGGTAAGCTCTTTCGAGTTGCTGATGGTGGATTTGAATTTTTGATCCTTTTGAATCTACCTCCCAATCGGATGAGATTAAAGGTGTGCACCACTGCACTTAGCCTTCCTGTGTGATTTATTGTATGGTTGGCTGATTTTTTCTGAGTTAATAAGTCTTAGTTAAATATTTCTAAACGGAATGTATTTTTTTTTTAAATATGTATATTTTATTTTTTAGTTTCAGTTTGTCACAATACCTTTATTTTACTGTGATGCTGAGGAACGATCCAGAGCCTCCACATGCTAGGTGATTGCTTAACTGCTGAGCTACAAGTCCATTTGGTGCAGAGTTTTTGCAAAGGTGGTTTTCATAAGCCCTTCAAATAACCACATTGAAATTAAATTGATACATTTTTACTGTGATTGAGGCTCTTATTCCTAAATCTTTCAAAGCAGTTACTTTGAAACCAAGTTTGGATTATCATTATTCATCATTTATTGTTGTAGTAGCTTAATAGTCCTAAGATAAAATATGATTATAAACCATGCTTTCTTTCCTAGTATGTCAGGAATGGCCTCAAAAATGACTTATTGAAACTGAGATTGATAAATACTCCATAGCATGGATTTCTAATATCTATGCGACAATTTGTGTTATTATTTAAGGTTTATTGACAGTATTCCTATGATCATGTCTTCAAGTTCCTTCAACAAGCTCCAGTTAACATTTATTTAGCTCCCTGAGATGCCAATTTTGAGAACCTAGGACCCCAGGTATTATATATATCCCAGTATAATTTCGGCCGCAGGGGCTGGGGATGTGGCCAAGCGGTAGCGGGCTCGCCTGGCATGCGTGTGGCCCGGGTACGATCCTCAGCACCACATACAAACAAAGATGTGTCTGACGAAAACTAAAAAATAAAATATTAAAAATTCTCTCTCTCTCTCTCTACCTCTCTCTCTCCCCCCAAAAAAAAAAAAAATTTTCGGCCGCAGATCCCAAAAGTTTGGCCCATGTTTCCCAGTCATTTCTATCTCCAGCAGGAACCGTCTATGGTAATAATGGGCCACAAAATTCAATCACATTTTAATGAAAATTATTATAGGAAACTTTCAGGTAATTTGTATATTTGTATTTTGTTTCTTTTTACCTTCAGGGTAGCTTTATAGCAATGTGGCATTTTAATTAGGCAAACTTGTTGTCATTTACTTCCCAGAGCTTTCTTGGGAAATGGTGATGCTTATGTGAAAAAATATGTTTTAAAATTCTGTGATGTATTTTTAATATGGCTAGATGTTTATATTTTCCATGTGTTTCATTGGTTATAATAAAATCCCATAGATTTCATTCCTCATAATAGTAGTAGCTCATAGTAGGCTGGAAAACTGTTAACTTTAATGAATTCGTGATCATCTCTGCTACCCTTGACAATTAAGTATTAAATTGTCAAACACAGTCAATATACATTCATATTGTTGGAAGTGTCTTTTCCAAAATTGATGTTCTTGTTACAGAAACATCAGATTATTGAATATGTTTACAACTTTCTGATTTATACTGTTGATGAGTTTACAGTTTTATTACCACCTTTTAAAGTATTAGTCACTGATATAACAAAATATTATAATTTCCCAAGTACTTGGAATTGAATTCTCAAGATCAGGGTTTTTCACACATTATCTGACCGGTGTGCTCCCCTTTCCCCATTTCCCATTATTTCCAGCTGAAGAGAGTAGTATAGTGGAACACATTTGAAGTATAGAAAGGTAGTTGGAATAGGAAGAAAGGAAGTTTCCTAGTACAAGAGGGAAAATAAAGGCCCCAAAGCCTTGTCAATGAGGAATGGGGAAGGAGGTTTTGCTGCCAGGTTTTACTAAGTTCATTTTAATAAACCCTGCTGTTATAGTCCTCTTTTATTAAAGCTTTCCTGACATTTACCCTGTTAGTTGAGGCTCTTCATTGTTCCTGCACTGAGCTGTAGAATTCTCTTTTGTTATAGATTTGCAAACACGACTTTCCCAACAGACTGAAGGTGAGTTGAACTGCTTATAATTATTATTTGTTGTTAAATTAAAATTAAATGGAATACGACATAGTTGCATGTTATTGTATAATTTTGTATCTAATTTTGAAATTTGACAGAATGACAACAGTGGTATATACATAGTAAGCTATGTATTTTAGAATATCTAATTCAGTTACCTAATATATAAGAGAAATGTACATGTCCCTGAATGCTTTTACTTTTAACTTTCTTATTAATATTTTTAGCCTTGTGCTGAGGGTATAGTCCTATGGTAGACTGCTGACCTAGCTATTCTCAGCACCACCAAAAAAAAAAAAAAAAAAATTCAACCTCTTATTTTTATGTGTTTTGTGTGTTAATGGAACTTTTATAGATTTCAGAAAACAAAATATTCTGTTAATTGTTATTTAGTAGAATAGTCTTTCAAAACATGAAAGACGATTTTAAAGAATGGTATTCTGATGTCATTCATTTGTGTAAGCCCATATAAAGTCATGAGCGGTCTTTTTTGATCTAAATTGCATGTATATTAAAAGTATTGTATACTCTCTCTTTTTTTCTTTTGTAATTGTCGAGTTAATCTGCCAAATGGCAGGCAAGAACATTTTGCGATTTAAATTTAGTATCTTTTCATAAGAATATCCTATTGTTTTATAAAATCCTATTCAAGGAAAGGATAATAGGATTTTATATGAATCATATCTATTGTGTTCCTTGATAGTTTAGAATTAAACACATACTTTAATTTTTCCTGCAAATGAGATGTACTTGGTGTTCTTTAACAGATTTTTAAAAGGTAGAATAGAGTATTGTCCTATTCATTCATTGGATTCTTCATGTGATATAGTTTGAACCATGATGTTTCTATAGTATATGCTCTTAATATTTTTGTTTTCACATTGTATTTGTGAAAGCAGAAAAAGCTGGTCTCCTTCAATTGTTGAAGCCCTTGTGGTTATTCCAAATATACTTGAAAATATTTAAAGCTACTCAGATTGTTCTTCAGTTTTTCTTAAAACTTACAGATTTTTTGGAGGTTTGTTATTGAGGTTGAACTGGAACTACTGAGCCCAAGTGATCCTCTTAGATCAGATAGCCAAGTAGCTCAGATTACATTGTTGCACTACTGTGCCTGATTATATTCTTTAATATTTTTATCTTTCCCCCAGTAGAATGTGACAGTTATTGTAGTATTTTTGCTTTTATTTAATACAAAGTTTATGGAAGAAAGCACTATTTGTTGAAGGAAATGTAAAGGGACAAAGATTTTTTATTTAAAATGCAGCTTAATGTGCTGCATATATAGCTCAGTGGCAATGTCTGTGCTTGCCTAACAATTGCCAAACCCTGGGTTTAATCTCCGGTTCTTTAAAAACAAAACAAAAAAATAAACAAAATATTGCTTTACAAAAGGATAACAGTTGTTCATGTAAGGAAAATTCTGCCAGAAACAATCATTCTTTTATGATATATTTTATGCCTAGCACTACCTTTATTTAGTGGTATATTTCTAATACTTCCTCAGGTGATTGTTCATTTTAATTACCATAATTTCTTAATGAATTGTTCTGTCCTTAGCTTTGTTTGTTTTTATGCATTGGAATGAAATTTGGTCAGATAATATGAGTACGGTGAGTTTTGTAACTGCTACTGATAATTTTGTAAATCACACAAGCAAATATTTTGGAATGTGTTGTAACTTCAGATTTCAAATATGTATTTTAATTGGAATATTAGTGTTCATTTTAAAATTTTAAAAGTGGATATTTCAGATATGCCGCTCATTTTCGTGTTTTTTATAGTATAAAAGTATACTTGTTTAATTCATTAGGATTTATTTTCATTGGCTATTAAGTGCCTTGTTTTATGCATTTTATTTTTGAAGTCTAATTTTATTAAGGTTTTGTATTTCAAAGAAAGTATATGTTAGAAGGTTGTAGATTTCATTGGCATTTCAGAGGATTTTATTTTTTATGTTGGTATAAAATGCAGCAATTCTGCAGAACCAGTATTTTATTTATCATCTTTCTTGAATTATTTATATTGAGATTCCATTTTTTTGAGTTGATTTAGATCACACAGAAAGTTTAATTTTGCCTATAAACATAATACTCCCTAGTTGGGCATGGTTGCATGCCTGTAAACCCAGGTACTTGGGAGGCAAAAGCAGGAAGACCACAAATTTGAGAATAGTCTCAGCAATGTCGTGAAGTTGTAAGCAACATTGTCAGACACCTTCTCAGGGTATTTATTAAAAATAAATAAAGACTGAGTTGTAGGTTAGTGGTAAAAGTGCCCTGGGTCTAATCCCCCATAAATTTCAAGTAAAATAACTAATACAATTTGCAGAATGTCTGTTTGTAGGTCGCCTATTTTTTGGCACCTAAAGTAAAGGATAGTGGCCTTCTGTGTTTGTTCCCTAAGGAAGGATTCAGCCAACCACAGATTGAAGAAAATATTTGGGTGAAAACGTTGCATGTGTATTAAACATTGTCATTATTTTCTAAGCAATGTAAAAAAAAATTACATTTTATTAAGCATTATAATTAATCTGGTGATAATTTGTGACTGTAGTTGTAGATTAGTGCGGTAACTACAGAGTGAGTGACATCCTTAAACATTGGGATATGCATTTTGTTTTATTTATCTGGGATATTCTCATGCATTTTCCATGAAAGTAATTTGTCTCTTTGTTTTTTTTTTTTTTTTTTTTTCTCCTTTTTTTTGTGTTTTAGCTTCAGCTTTAGCTGCAGCTGCCTCTGTTCAGCCACTTGCAACACAGTGTTTCCAACTCTCTAACATGTTTAACCCTCAAACGTAAGTATGCTTTGATCAAGTTTCAAAGAGTGTTCTTTGAGGGCTAGGATAAAGCTCAGTTGGTAGGGTGATTGCCTCCCTGGGTTCAATCCCTAGCACAACCCCCCCCCCCCCAGTTTTCTTTAAAAACTGTAATATTCAGTTTATAAGATAGCATATAGGACATTTTCATATGATTCTAAATTGAAAAAGTACAAAAATTTTTAAACATTTTAACATAAATTTTAGGTATTTTTTGTGTAGTCCTTATAATGGTTACATTTGTAAGATTAGGATAAATTAAAACTATGGAGATTTTCCCTATGTTTTTCTAAATGATTTTATACGGTGCGTTTACAGGGATTTACTTCTATCATCAGTTTACCCTCTCACTAGCTTTTAACTTTGAAATTTAAGTTTTCAGTATCTATTGATTTATTAATTTAATTTATTTATTTAATTTAAAGTGTCTATTGATGGATGCAGGGCATGAATTAGCAGATTACTTTCTTGGAGATGCTGGGGTTTCAAACCCAGGGCCTCGTGCATTCCAGTCAACCACTGTACCACGAAGCTATACACAGAGCCCTCTTAATTTTGACAGCAAGTTCTTGCTAAATTGCTGAGGTTGGGCCAGAACTTGGGATCCTCTTGACTCAGCCTCCTCAATTGCTGACATTACAGGAGTGTGCCTTTTCACCTTTGACTAGCTAAGTATTAGAATACCATTTATTAGTACAGAGTTTTGGTGCTTTTATAAATCATATTTACAACATACCAAGTCAATATAAACCTAAGTTTTCTGTTCAGCTTTAATATTTATTTTTCAGTTGTAGATGGACACAATACCTTTAAATTAATTTATTTATTTATTCTTATGTGGTACTGAGGATAGAACGCAGAGCCTTGGACGTGATAGGGGAGTGCTATGTGGCTAAGCCATAACCTTAGCCCCTCTGTTCAATTGTCATTCCAGCCCTTCTTGTTTTATTTTGACAAAGGGTGTTGCTAAGTCATTGAGGGCCTCACTGAATTGCTGAGGCTGGCTTTCAACTTGTAATCCTTCTTTCCTTCTCAGCCTCCTAAATCACTGGATGACAGGCATGTGCCAGTGTGTCTGGATTCTTATGTTCTCCAAATACGAAATTTCTTTTAGTTTCATTTATGAAACAGTTATAATTATTGATAAAAGTTTAAATTTTAGAGTTAGCAGTATTTGATCCCTACCATGGACTAAACGAGAAAAAAATAGTCAGCAGATCATTTAAATACTCATTACAGAAAAAAAAAGACCAGGTTATAAACAGTGTTTTACATTTTAAAATTTTATTTTTCCTACTGTTTAAAACAATTGAGTTTTCAATTGGTAAATTTATGATTATCCAGAATAATGGTATATGCTTAATTTTATTAATCTCATGAGTACTTTTAAAAAACTTAACTTTTATAAATTCTTCTGATATTTCTGTATTCATTTGTTTCTATAGAGTTCTAATATAACAATACTTTGTTTCAGAGAAGAAGAAGTTGGATGGGATACAGAGATCAAGGATGATGTGATTGAAGAATGTAATAAACATGGTGGAGTCATTCATATTTACGTTGACAAGAATTCTGCTCAGGTATTTCTATCTCTAAAAAAGTATTTTATGGCCACTCTCTTCGATTAGAATGGTTATTTATGAAAAGAGCTTTAACATCATGACCAAATATACCCTCCAATATAACCAAAACGTTGACCGGAGTCTTATTATAAATCAGTTACTGGTGATATTAAGAGCCTGCCATGAAATCCTCATATCTTGAGTCATTTCTAGCTTTTGGATCAGAGTCAAAAGATATTATATGGCAAAATTGAGGAAAATTTGAGATATGCATATTAGCCTTTGTAATAAGTATTTAATACATTTTATGGTTATCAAATAAAATATTGGGTTTTTCTGTAGGTACCTTGAATAAATCTGTGCAGGTCCACATTGTTTATAGGGATGTCTTTACCTTTGTGTTATTGTTTGCATTTTAGGGCAATGTGTATGTGAAGTGCCCCTCAATTGCTGCAGCTATTGCTGCTGTCAATGCGTTGCATGGCAGGTGGTTTGCTGGTGAGTTTCATCTTCATTCTGAGTGATTGTTAGTTTGTAAAACTTAAGTGAATAAGCTTAAACAAATATCTTGGTTTTTTTTTTTTTCCAACAGGTAAAATGATAACAGCAGCCTATGTACCTCTTCCAACTTACCACAACCTCTTCCCTGATTCTATGACAGCAACACAACTACTGGTTCCAAGTAGACGATGAAGGAAGATATAGTCCCTATGTACATAGCTTTTTTTTTCCTTGAGAATTCATCTTGAGTTATCTTTTATTTAGATAAAAATAAAGAGGCAAGGGTCTACTGTCATTTGTATACAATTCCTGTTACCTTGAAAAAATAAAAATGTTAACAGGAATGCAGTGTGCTCATTCTCCCTACCTAGCAAATCCCACTGTATACAAAGCTGTTCTCGTTCTGCCTTTTAAAATGTTCATGTAGAAAATTACATTAAGGATCTATAGGAATAGCTCTAGGGGAACAAGTGTGCTTTCTGTACAAAGGCAGACAGGTATGTAATGATGTTTTTAATGTTTCAGAAGCCTAACTTTTTACACAGGTTACATTTCACATTTCACTAATGTTGATATTTTACTCATGGTTTAGCAGAGGTTTCTGGAATACACATTTAGTGTATGGGGATTGAAGCCAGGTAAAGGGCTGTTTGGCTAGCATCTCATCTTGCATTTTGATCATTTGGCAAGAAAGGGAGATTTCAAAATTATATTTCTTGATGGTATCTTTTCAATTAATGTATCTGTAAAAGTTTCTTTGTAAATATTATGTGTTTTGGTGTGTCTTAAGATTCCAAACAAAATGATCACTGCATTTCCTGAATATGTTTAGTCAAGAGTCTGGTAAGGCAAAGAAGTCTCAGCAAGAAAATAGGAAATGCAGAAATAGGTTTTGTCTGGTTGCATATAATCTTTGCTCTTTAAGCTCTGTGAGCTCTGAAATATATTTTTGGGTTACTTCAGTGTGTTTGACAAGACAGCTTGATATTTCTATCAAACAAATGACTTTCATATTGCAACAATCTTTGTAAGAACCACTCAAATAAAATTCTCTTAAAAAGGCCATAAGAAATCTTTATTTTTCAAGTATTGTAAAGTCATAGAATCTGAAGAATAGGGTAAAAGCTTGTTTGACTTCTAGTGGTGAAATGATTCTTAATGTGTAGTCTGGGGAAATTCGTACCCTTATACAGTCCCTGTCAGTTCCTTCTCAGCATCATTACTGTAACCTAGCATTGTACTTTTAAGTCCATGTATCAAAATGAGAGAAAATCAAGCAAGTTTACTGAGACCTTCTCCTCAACCTGGCTGGTTTTTATGTTGTCTATTGTCTGGCCATCTTGGTGGACAAATCTTCATGGTTCTATTTAACAGAAAAAATTCAAGTCAATAGTAGGTTCCAGTGTTTTGGGGGCAGGGACACATTCTTTCAATACATTTTTTTCTCTTAAAGAATCTCCTGATAACCATAGTAGGACACATGTGCTGAGGATTGAAGCCAAGGCCCCTCATGTGTTAGGGGAGTGTTCTGCTGAGCCACAACCCCAGCCCCCTTGAAGTTTTACTCCCATTTCTATACCATGTCCTATGAAGTTTATTGTCATTCCTTTATAGGGACAGTAAATGTATTTTTGTAGTTTTCAAAGTTGTCCACCGGTGAACCACAGAAAAATTCAGTTTATAATGGATAACTATGATGGGGACTGGGCAGTTGAGCATAACTGTAATGATACCTACTCAGGAGGCTCAGGCCGAAGGAACACAGATTTGAAGCTACCTTAGTAAACCCTTCTCAAAATTCAAGAGTTGGTGTGTGGTGGTACACACTTGTAATTCCAGTGATTGGGGGAGGCAGGAGAACTGCAAGTTCCAGGCCAGCCTCTGGAAATTAGGAGGACTAGGGTGGTTGCTCAATGGTAGAGTCCTCTGGAATTCAATCCCCACTATAGACCAAAAGATTAAAAAATACTGTTCAGTGGTGATGCATTTTCCTAAAGGAAGTCTTTGGGTTCCATCCCTAGTACTACCACATAACATAATGGTTTAGTTTTTGAACTTTTTTTCCCCCTTGGCACTGAGTATTGAACTTGGGCACTTGGCCACATCCCCAGCCCTATTTTGTATTTGTTTTTTATTTAGAGACAGGGTCTCACTGAATTGGCTAGCACCTTAGCATTGCTGAGGCAGGCTTTTTACCTCTGCCTCTAACTTTGATGCATAGAAAGAAGTTAAAAATTGCCACCGAATTAGATTGAAGTCATCAACTCCTGACACAATATGTCATTTTAAGAAATGTATGCTTTAAAAGCTGATTGGCCTATGTCTCCCATACATTTTTTTTTCTTTGTTGAATGGGGGCAGGTAGGTGGTGGTACTGGGGAATGAACCCAGGCCTTTGATTGAACAAGTAGTTAAGGGGTGGTGCCTATTGTGGTAATCTCAGACAGTAATGGGGCTGAGACAGGAGGATCAAAAGTTCAAGGGGAAGCCAAGTTCAAGCCTGTAATCCCAATGTTATTTCAAGAAAAAGAATTTTGTGGAGGATCAGGTTATAGTTGACATCATTGAGGCCTGGTTAGGATGTTATCTGGGATTTAGCCACTTAAGAAGGTAGAAAAGTGATATTTCAGATGTGTTTTTTTTTCTTTTTCATTGTATAAGCTGTTGTTTTCTGATCAAGCAAGAAGATCAATTTCAGGTGGGAATAGGATAAGTTATTAAAATCCTTTGGGAGGACTGGAGTTGTAGCTCAGCTGCAGAGTGCTTTCCTGTGAGGCACTGCGTTGGATTCCCAGTACCACATATAAACAAGCAAATAAAGGTCCATCAACAACTAAAAACAATTTAAAGGAAAAAAAATTCTTTGCCAGCCATGGTGGCATGTGCCTGTAAGCCCAGCAATTTTGTGGAAGGAAGATTCCAAGTTCAAGGCTAGTCCTAGCACCTATATGAGTGTGTCTTCTAAAGAAAAAGGCTGAGGATGTAGCTCTGTGGTAAAGTGCCCCCTGGTTTCAATCCCCAGTACTAAACAAAAAATAAGCCTGGGTGTGGTGGTGCATGCATGTAATCTCAGCAGTAGGGGAGGATGAGTTAGGAGAATCAGAAGTTTAAAGCCAGCCTCAGCAACTCTGTCAGACCCTGTCTCAATATATAAAAAGGGCTGGGGATGTGGCTCAGGGGTTAAGCAATGCAATGCCCTGTATCAGAAAAACAAACTGGGTATGTTATCAGTGGTTGAGAACTACTGTGTTCAATACCAGTACCACAAAAAAAATAAAAACTTTTTGCAGTGTGTTATATTGAGGAAACATAGGCTTTACAGTGTTTAACCTCACAAACTGTTACAAAAACATCAAATTTACAAGGTTGAATTGAAAGTTTTAGTAGATGGCTGGGGTTATGGCTCAGGGGTAGAGCGCTCACCTCGCATGTTGAAGGCCCTGGGTTCGATCCTCAGCACCACATAAAAAATAAATAATAAAGTTATTAAAAAAAGTTTAGTAGAGTATATGGAGGGTATCATGCATCCCCAAGTTTCCAATTTTGGATATCTAATCCAGGCCCTGTAAACAGCAATTCTACTCATTAGCCTACCTGTTTTTACTCTACAAAATCTTTGGCCAAGTTGGATAATAATAGACTGAAAATGAGAAGAAAAGACTTTGTTTTATTATGGTACAAGGGCCAGGGTGGATAGGAAGATGTAGATGTAGTGGGCAATCACTGTCCTGGTTAGCATCGTATGCCCATTCCGATGGCCATGAATGTGCCAAATGTGCCGCCACTCTGCATCATAGTTTTCCCAATGCCGCCCATCAGCTCCCGACCCCGCATTCCGATCCTGAGGAGGAAACCAAGATGGGGCCATTTGGGAACAAAAATACTTTCTTTTTCCAATCTGCACTTGTAATAATTATGAATTAAGCACTACTAAAATCTAGCAATTCCTTTATATCACTTGGTACTGCGAAATTTTACCTTTTCCCATATGGGTAATGAAAAAAAGATTAATCAGGGTCTGTAGGAAATTCAATAGAATGTCATATCAACTGCTTTCAATTTGTGGGAGACAGGAGATAGTGTCAAGTGCATGGTGGCACTGTGGAATGAATGATAGGGATATCTTACTGCACTATACTCCCACCCTCTTTTATTTTTTTAAGACAGGATCTTGCTAAGTTGGAGAGAGGCTGGTTCTTGAATTTGCAATTCTCCTGCCTCAGTTCTTTGAGTGTGGGACTACAGGGGTCACTGTCACTCCTGATGCGAAAGCAGTTTTTACAGTTGGTTTTGCCTCCTGAGTGTCATCGAATAGATATTTGTCTTAGTTGGTTTTTGGTATTGATGATTTTGGAGTTGATCATGGGTTCAAGAACCAGCTCTGTGATTTTATAGGCTGTGTCAAAAAACCATAAAATGGGCATCAAAACACAATTTTTTTTGGGGGGGGGGGTACCAGAGATTGAAGGAACTCAGAGGGAGTTAACCACTGAGCCACATCCCCAGCCCCAATTGTTTTTTTACTTTTAGACAGGGTCTGGCCAAATTGCTGAGGTTGGCCTGGAACTTCAGATCCTCCTGTCTCAGCCTCCCAAGCTGCTGGGATTACAGGCTAGCGCCACCACACCTGGCCAACAGAACTGGTTTGTTAAATATGGTATTGCTCAGTATACTGTAATTTATAACCTGGAAACACGGGAATAACACTGCCCAAATGAGAAAATGACCTTCCAAGTGTACAGTGTTATATACTTCATCTCTACATCTCATTCCCAGGGCAAACACCTCAACAATTTTCATTTTGTGCAACTGGATATAAAAATAGCAGCAACAGCAGTAATAATTATTTACTAAGCCCTTGCTATGTGCCAGATTCTACACAATGCGTGCTGACTTGATTCTTACAAAGGTGGTGTTACTGTTTTCATCTACACTTGATGAAACTACAACTCCAATTTGCCTCACGTCACTGAACAAATGAAAGTAGGGGCAGAAAGAATTTGTAGGGCTCTGCACTGCGCTCCCAGCCCGAATCAGGCTCTATTCAGGATGCAATCGAGCAAGCCGTGAAGTCCCTCCCAAAGTTCACCAACTGCGTCCCTCACCTGAGACAGGAAAAGGTGCCAAAGAGCGCTCCGGCCGCCATGCCCACGGCACAACCCATGACAAAGCCCATCTTCACGCGGTCGAAGCAGCTTGGCTGGGACTGCCCGTAGGGACCCACGGCCACCGGCATCTGCGGAGTGTGAGGGACTGGGAAGTGCGGGCCCAGCGGACAGCCCAGAAGCCGGGCGGAGTGGGGAGCCAGCCCAAGGGATTCAGGAAAATTAGTGAAGGAACAGCCTCTTGCCCTATTCCACCACCCTCTTCGCATTCCAGACCCGACGCCGCGCGACGCAGCCCGGCTCGGGCCACCCCAACCTCACCTCGTTCGTGGCCTTTGTCGCTCGGCTCTACGTCTCACACGGAAAACCAGACGGAGGGCGTTCGCATCCGGGGGATCGCTTCCGGAGCGCGAGGCAGTACTTCCGGGAGCCCGGGGCCGCGGACTGCAGCCACTTCGGGTAGTGGGTTCTGACGCTGGGACCATGCTGCTACGAGCCGCTTGGAGGCGGGCGGTTTTGGCGGTGGCGGCCGCAGTCGGGCCCAAGCCTGCGACGCCCTCCCGTGGGCTGCGCCTGCGCGGTACGCTTCCGATCCCACTCTTCGCCGCCCTTCCCCGAAGCGGCCTCCTTTCCCCTCCGAGCGGCCAGTCCCCTCGAATATTCCCAAGCTTCCCTGTCCCGCCCCGCTGCCCAGAATCTTTGACTCTTTGTCTCGCTTGCACCCCACAGAGTTTCTCAGGCTATACGTCAGAACGGTTAATTCCTCCGCTTCACACCCCCACCCCAGTCCCCGCAGATCTTGTCCTCAACCCCCCATAGCCTGGAAGCCTGGGCCTTCTGACCTCTCCTGGCCAACTATTAGATATGCTGGTCTAGCCTCGCGTCCACGTTCCATCTAGATGGCTTTGCCCTTCTGAGCTCTCTTCACTCCGTCGAGCCAATTTGAACATTGCCACCAGCGTCCTCCTCCGCCCCCCCCCCCCCCCCCCCCCCCGCCCCATCACCTTGTTTCTAACAGTAGCCTCCTTGTATAGTGTTCTTTGATATTGTTTACTTCCCCTTAGGATTCCACCCCATCACCCCTTAAACTTATCACACTTCTATCCAGCTATTGAGTCTCTGTGGCTGCTCTCTGTTCATAGTTGTGTCCTCCTTCACTTGGCCACTCCACTTTTTGTCAGTTGTAGATCATGCCCCGCAGTCGGCTGTTGCCTCAAATTCAGAGGCTGCCCCTGAGGCAGAGTCAGTGCTGCGACCTCTCTACATGGATGTTCAAGCTACCACTCCTCTGGTAAGAATACAGTGGCAGCTTTTCCTAAGGCTGTAATAGCAAGTACTTATTAGAAGTGAAAATTCATAGAAAGGGTGGATTGCTGTAGAGGTGAGAACCTTTGAGGTGTTTTGGGAAAAGGAATAGAGCCAGGAATTAGGAGGCTTAAATTCTTATTCATATGCTAAATATCTGATCCCCTTCTCCAGTATTAATGCAAATTTTCAACTATGTGTGAGAAGAGATTTTTCCCTGCTTCTATCATGTCCCAACTCCTCATAAATCACATTGCTGGTGGAAATGCAAACATCTGCAGAAACAGTAGTCAGAATAGTGTTTACTACCTGAGGGGACAATAGAACAATCTGATTGAAGATGGGTTGGGAGTGGGAGTATATTAGGTTGATATTTAATTAATAGAAGGGAGGGAAGACTTGTCTAACCTAGGCGCAGTGATGAAGGGTTGGGAGTGTGTTGAGGCAGGGTGGGCAGGTTTGGAAATGTAGTGGGGCCTGAGTTGACTGTGGACTCAAGGTGACTCATCTGTTGTGTTGTGCTCAGGACCCCCGGGTGCTTGATGCCATGCTACCATACCTCATCAACTTCTATGGGAATGCACACTCTCGGACACATGCTTATGGCTGGGAGAGTGAGGCAGCCATGGAACGTGCTCGCCAGGTTAGTACAGAGGAGTCTGGGAGGTTACAAGGTCAGAGGTTCTGTGGCCTGTGGGAGATATTTCCTTAGTAGGTGGAATAGAAGTAGAAATAATTTGGGGATTGGTCTTGGTGTCTGGGTTGCGTGACTCACACCTATAATCCTAGTGGCTCTGGAGGCTGAGGCAGGAGGCTCTATAGTTCAAAGCCAGCCTCAGCAATTTAGTGAGGCCATAAACAATTTAAGTGAGCCAAAAAAATTTTTAAGAAGGGCTGGGAATGTGGCTTAGTGATTAAGTACCCCTGGGTTCAAACCTTGGTGCCAAAAAAAAAAAAAAAAAAAATCCTGAAATTATTATTTGGGTTCTTTCTTTCTAGAAGACATTCAGAGAGTAGCCTGAAGACTGACCATAGACATTTGATTAGTATCCCTATTTCCTAATTGAATTACCTTGGGGAAATGATCTAATTTCTCTTAAGTCTCAATTTTCCTCACATTTCAAGTGGAGTGGAGTAGATTCTACTGTGTGATTATTGGGTGAATTAAATGAGATTAGGTTGGTAAAGCTTTTTAACACAATTCCTATACATAGTCTGTATATAGTGAGAACTCAATAAGTACATTTAAAAAATAATGTCACTGCTGAATGCAATGATAGAATGTCTGTAGTCACAACTACTCAGGAGTCTAGGGCATGAGGATCAAAAGTTCCAGGTTAGTCTAGGCAACTTAATGAGCCATGACCAAACCCCAGGTACTCTGGAGGCTAAGGCAGGAGAGTCACAATTTTGAGGCCAGCCTGGGCAACTTGGTGAGACTATCTCAAAATGAAATGTAAAAAGAACTGGAGGTGTGGCTCAGTGGTATCATACCACTGATCCCTATTACAAAAAATACCTATATAAATAATTATAAAAGGGCTGGGGATATAACTCAGAGGTAGAACTCTCCTGGGTTCAATCCCCAAAATGATATCACTTAATGTTCTGTTTTTGATGGGGTTGCTGGGGATTGAACCCAGGGTCTTGTGCATGCTACGTACTCTACAACTTAGCTACTTCCTGAGCCCCCCCCCCCCTTTTTTTTTGGTCCCATGAATTGAACCCAGGGGCACTTAACCACTGAGTCACATCCTCAGCCCCTTTTTAATATTTTTTATTTAGAGAAAGTGTCTAGCTAAGTTGCTTAGGGTCTCTCTAAGTAGCTGAGACTGGCTTTGAATTTATGATACTCCTGCCTCAGTTTCTCAAATTGCTGGGATCACAGGCCTGCACCACTGTACCCAGCTGGCTTAAAATTCTTGCTAGTATCTTGTCTTGCACTGGAAAAGAACACGGAGTCTAAAATGTAACTGAAACTGGCCTTTGTCTAACACACTAACATTAGTCTAGTTGATCTGTAGTCTAGTTGATCTGCAAAGCTTCTTCTTGGGCTGTATGTAGAATACAGTGGAGCTCCTTTTTTATTTGCTCACTCCTAGTGACTGATCGCAAAGGCACTCTACCATTGAGTTATTTATTTATGTATGTTTTGTTTGTTTGTTTGTTTTTAGTACCAGGGATTGAACCCAGGGGCACTTAACCACTGGGCCACATTCCCAGCCTTTTTTTGTATTTTATTTAGAGATAGGTTCTTGCTGAGTTACTAAGTGCCTCTCCAAGTTGCCGAGGCTGGCTTTTAACTTCCAATCCTCCTGCCTTAGCCTCTTGATTTGCTGGGATTACAGGTGTGCACCACCATGCCTGGTTCATTTATTTATTTTTCTGAGGCAGGATCTTGCTAAGTTGCTGACTGGGGAACTGATGATATCTATCTCTGTTTCTTGGCATATAGCAAGTAGCATCTCTGATTGGAGCTGATCCTCGTGAGATCATTTTCACTAGTGGTGCTACTGAATCCAACAACATAGCAATTAAGGTAAGAGAAGGGTGCTGAGGGTGTAGCTCAATTGGTGTTGGATCCTCAACACCTCCTAAAAAAAGGAAAAAGGTAAGAAAAGGGAAACAGATGGCACCTCTGGAATTGTGGGCCATTATGCCCAGAAAGATAACACACCCATTCTAATATGTTGCTTCTTTTTTCCCTTTGTTCCAGTTAGTTCTATTTTTGTTATTTATTTTTTGATGCTGAAGATCAAACCCAGGGTATAAAGTGTGCTAAGTATGTGTTCTAACATTTAGCTATATCATCAGTTTCTAATAATTTCATATTTTGTATGTGGTGCTGAGGATCGAATCTGGGCCGCACGCATGCCAGGTGAGTGTGCTACCGCTTGAGCCATATCCCCGGCCCAATAATTTCATATTTTACTTTTAGAATAATTTTGTATTATAAACTGAGTGCGGGGTACCGCACATTTTATCACTTTAAATTTTTGTTGTTGTTATTTTGATTTTTTGTTGGTACCAGGGATTAAACTCAGGGCCTCCTGTGTGCTAGACAATTGCAATAAGTTTTATTTTGACAGTGTTTTGTTAAGTTGCCTAGGTTGGCCTTCAACTTGCAATCGTGCTATGTCAGCCTCCCAAGTAGCTTTGGACTACATGTGCCACCATATCTGGTTATGTGTTGTTTTTTTTTTTGTCTTAAATGAAAGAAATGCTTTTTACTTCTTTATTTCCTTATAATAAATTGAAATTCTAAGAACTTAAAATATAATACTGGGGGCTGAGGTGTAGCTCAGTGGTAGAGCACTTGCCTAGCATGTGTGAGGCACTGGGTTCGATCCTCAGTACCACATAAATAAATTAAATAAAGGCATGCTGTCGATCTACAACTATACAAAAAATAATTAAAAAATATATATAAAATACTGTTTTTTCTGATATTAAAAGTATCACATAGGGGCTGGGGATGTGGCTCAAGTGGTAGCGTGCTCGCCTGGCATGCGTGTGGCCCGGGTTCGATCCTCAGCACCATATACAAATAAAGATGTTGTGTCAGCCAAAAAACTAAAAACTTAAAAAAAAAAAAAAAAAGTATCACATAGTTGGCTGGGAAATAGTCAGTAATAGCATGCATGCTTAGCATGTGTGAAGCTCTGGATTCAATCCTCAGCACCAAAACAAGTAAAAAAAACAAATCCCTTTGTAAATGGAATTGAAGTTATTGCTATTTCCCTGAATATGTTCTCTTTCCTTCCACCATCATTACTGTTTAGGGGGTGGCCAGGTTCTACAGGTCACGGAAAAAGCACCTGATCACCACCCAGACAGAACACAAATGTGTCTTGGATTCCTGTCGTTCACTGGAAGCTGAGGGTTTTCGGGTCACCTACCTCCCAGTGCAGAAGAGTGGGATCATTGATCTAAAGGTAAGAATGGCTTTTGGCATGAGGGGCAAAATAGGAATATCCTGGCTTCAGCTCTAAATCTGTCACTTCCACCTTGGCTAGCTAGAGCTTAAAGGTGGTTCTAATGGTGAGGGTGGATTTTAGAGAAAGCATCCTGGCAAAGAAAGAGATTGTTTCCCTTGAGTG